CGCTATGCTATAGGGATAGTATAATTGGGAGTTCAATCCCTGGGCCAGGCAGTGTGTACTTGTAAATAGGTAATAAATAACTGTGCAGTACTAAAAATAACAACTAGACAAAATATCTCTAGGCATGAGCAATGGAACAAGAACAGTTTACCCTTGTAGATTAAATAAAGGGTTAATTTCAGAATTCCCTGTAGGTTACCCAGATCAATATACACCTAAGGAAGACTGCAGGGTACAACAACCAAAACATAACAAAGAGGAGGAGGGTAGTCCAAATATAAATAGTGTAAATAATGAACTCAGTCTTCTTAATGCTGTTAACATATTTTTCAGCCAATGTAGTCTACAGCTGTTTTTTTTCTTTGACAGGAAAATAAGAGAAACCATTGTCCTTCCTTATAGATTGTTTGCTTGAAGAAGGCTGTAGAATGTATCCAGCAAAAGGTGGTAACACAAGAAAAGAGTTCAACTGCCTAAGCAGAGCTCATTCCATAATTAGTTTATAAAAATAACAACTAGACAATATATCCCTAGACATGAGCAATGGAAAGAGAACAATCTACTGCCATGGATTAAATAATGGGTTCAGTCCAGAATTCCCCATAGGTTACTCAGATTGATATGCTTCTGATGAAAACTGGAAAGCACAATGGCTGAAATGTTGTAATAACAATAAAGATAAGGACTATAGCTCACATGTAAATAGTGGTTTACTTTCAAGTATAGATTTTAAAATTCCTGAGCAAACAAACTATATAATTTCTCTCTTAATTTCTGGGGTGAAAGGTTATCATTAACAATCTTATAGGTTAAATAAAGGGTTCATTTGGAAATTTCCTGAATGTTACCTAGATTGATGGACACCTCAAGAAGACATACTAGCAAAATATTGTGATAATAACAAAGGCTTAGTCCAAATGTAAATAATGTGTTGTTTTTAGGTTAGGGCTTGTTGTTTGAAGATGAGGTGTTATGCTGACAAACAAAAGTGAAGGTGTTTAATTGATTGAGAAATTAGGCAAACCAAAGAGTGAAACAAAATTAGATAGAATAAAAATTCCTATTGGGAACATTTTTGTCTATAGAAACTTTTTGAGGATAATTCCTGAAAGATAACATGAACTCAAGGAATATTCTTAAGAGTCTCTGTAAAGAATGAAGGAAAATTTGGACTTATTCTGAATTAGTGAGTAACTGATATTTACCTTTTTTTTCTTTTTTAATTGAGATTTTTTTTCCTTACTGTGTCAAATACAATGTGATATTATTTTACACAATCTTTATTAGGAATGGATTTTTCATTTATTAATCTGATATTAATATTTGAATAGATGCACTGATATTCAAGAAATCTTATTAAAGAAATATGTGCTCTCCAGCAGGATTTGAACCTGTTCCCCTAGGGGAAACTGTCATTAGATCAGACCTCTTGACTATGGAGTACCTGGCGGCCAAGCAAAGCTTGAATAATGTTTAAGTAATAAAATAATCTTTATTCTTCAACATACTCAGAATGTACCAGAAGTCTCTGTTTTAATGTTTTAGTCAGAAATTCATTGAAATACCTCTCTCTTCATCAGTAAAGTTGAGAAATATTGTTTTATCAATTCCATTTGAATATTCTATTAAATATGACAATAAAAATTCAGGCTGAAAAAGCAGAAGAAAAACTTAAAATGACATCATTTTTTTTTCCAATTCTTAACAAAATCTAATTTTAAGTAGGAATTCTGGGGAGTGGGTGTCTGTATTTTAAAAATGTATTGCGTATTTTTTTTTCTTTTCTTTTGATCAAAGTCACTATCTTCTGGCTGTTAGTCTGTTAATAGTGACTATTTTTTTGTAAACATTTTTTTCATTGGACTATTCTTTTTTAAAAACTAACAACATTAAAGTTTAATCCAAAGTTTCTGAAAAAAAATTTCAAATTCTATTTTGATGGTTTAGTCTTATTTAATCTCTCCTTGTGATTGGCCTACACCTTCTTTACAAGATCAGGAGATGACACTACCTTGAGTTCCCTATTTCTATGTTTTTTTTTTTTTTCCCTATTTTTGCTAATCATCTAACATAACCTCTCCATGCACATGCACACACACCATGTTTTAGTAGTAGTATAGATACTCTTCTAGTTAATATGAAACTGAGGATCTTTGTTAACACTCCTACTGCCTAACTGGCAAGCACTGCAAAAATATTGCAATTCATCTTGCCTTGTTTCACATGATGCTAACTAATATTAATATAAAATGTGCCAAGAGAAACAGATTGTATATTTTGCATTCTGAAGAATTTAGAATTTCAGATATCAGCGTTTTACATTTGTAATTTGATCTCATTTGAAATTAACTTAACATTGCATAATTTAAATTTTATTATCGTAAGCACAAGAATTGTTGCTGCTACAAGTGATTTTTGTTGCTATTGTTTTGTATGTCTGGAACACACCACTGTATGGTATTAGAATATTTAGGGGGACAATTTCAGCATGAAAAGTCAATTTAGAAAATTTGTTAATGTTTTATTTGTTATTTTTAGTTTTATTATAATTTTATTTTTAACTAAAAAAATATGATTTTTAAACTAAACTAAAAAAAAATTTTAAACTAGTTTTAAATTTTTTTTTTTTTAAACTAAAAAAAAAAAAAATAAAATAAAGTCTGATCCTAAAATATTACTTCAAATTGTACATAATCATGACTCTCCACAGATTCTTTTTCTTCATTATCTCAGAATTGCCGTGACTTCTTGGGAAAGATATTGCAGTGGTTTTCCATTGCCTTTTCTATGATTTTAAATTCAGAATATACCTTCTCTTAAACTGGCTGACATCCAATGTTACAGGTCCTAATTTTACCTGCTATTTAATTCCTAGCTAGAGGGAGAGGATTCTGCAAGAGCATTAGTGTGAAAGTGAGTGCACTCAACTTTGATTTGAACTTGGGTTGCCAATTCTTATGTTCCACATTGATAAGTTACACAACCCACAAATCCTTATTGACTATTACATTATCAATATAATTTGTAGGAAATGTCAATGCAGGACTGAGGGACCAGTTTGAAAATTATTTAATGTTTGACTTAAGCTTTTTAAAAACTGCTTGATTTAAAATAATGTTATAAAGTTTTAACTTCAATTGTATCACTGAATGTTAATACATTTTTAAAAATGGTTTCTCTTATTTTCCTGTCAAAGAAAAAAATAATGGCTGTAGACTAGATTGGCTGAAAAATATGTTAATATCATTAACAAGACTGAGTTCATTATTTACACTATTTATATTCAGACTCTCCTCCTCCTCTTTGTTTCTGTGATCATGTTTTGGCTGTTGTGCCCTCCAGACTTCCTCAGGTGTATATTGATCTCGGTAATCTACAGGGAATTCTGCACTGAACCCTTTATTTAATTTTTGAGGATAGAATGTTCTTATTCCACTGCACATGCCTAGAGATATCTTGTCTAGTTGTTATTTTTAGTACTGCTCAGTTATTGCTCACCGGTTTCCAAGTACACACTGCCTGGCTCAGGGATTGAACTCCCAATTACTCTGTCTTACAGGACATAGTAATTGAGAGTTCTTATTTTTATTTCCTACTGTTCAGTTATTGCATGCCCATTTCCACTGAATATAAGTATAGACTACCTGTCTATGGGACAATGGTCTGGTGGATAAAAGTGTTGGTTTGTGAATTTGGTGACATTGTGAGTTCAACCCCTGGTTTTTGCTCAAAGTTTTACTTGTTTTTCATTACAAAGTACAATGTCTATGCCATTGTCACATGCTAGCTTCCATATCACTATGTCTGACATGAAGAACAAGTGGTACCATAAATAGATTATTGAAAATTTTAAATTTATATATTTTACTAAAACATGTTGCAAGACATTAGATTAGGATTTTTAAAACTGCTAAATGAATGTAGGAGGAAAGCTTTAAATTTGCGCAAATTCTATATCCCCAAAATAAATACAATATTTTTATAAATAGGTCAGTTTATTAGCCTTCATTATGTATAGCATTTCTTTCATCTTAAAGTATCATTGGTTACACTACATTTCATGAGTATCAAAATATCTGAACTTTAGAACTACTCAAGGATAAAATGAAACTGAGTTGTGTATGTTGTGATCATGAATGTGTAATTTGATGAATTAAATATAAAAGGAGTTAATTATTCTGAAGGGTTGCTGCTGAAACTTGAGCTCAAGTGAAACAAATTGTACCTTTTTGAAGATCACATGATCTGTTGATGAATTATCTATTTCTTTTATAATTTCACCCCAAGCAAGGTGATAATGCCACTAAGATACAAGGGTTTACTGGGAGTAGGAGAAAATGAGAAGACTTTAGTGAGGAGAAAAGAGAATAAAAAAAAAAACAAGATTCTGAAAGACAGAAGATGACAATTGACATTGCATTTAAATTTTTGAAGATTGTAAGTGACAGGGAATCCAGAAACTGGAAGAGTTTTCATAAGCAAGAAATGCAAGAAAATAAGTTATTAGAATAGAAATTATGATTACAGCTAGCTATTTCAACAGTAAAACAATGAGACCTAGTTACCAATCTAAAAGTACACTTAACTTCATGTGGCTGAGGTACCAAGGAGGAGAGCTTGTTAGAACAACTGCTACAAAAATATTTATAGAAAAGATAGATGGAAGCCACATCATGGTGGTGAGAAAGTGACTGAAGTCAAGATGCCAGGTCAGGACCAATATCATGGTAGACTCTTCTTTGAATTTTTTCAAGAATCTTGAGATATGTAGCAGGATTATGAGACTAGATATAGTAGCAATATTCAATACACAGACAAATGGTAGATTTATAAATGTGCCAGATGAATTCTAGTGAAAGAAATTGTCTGGCACGTCACTGTTAACCAACTTTTCTAGTAGCAGACTTAGCAATTGATTCAATATAATCAATTAAAATGAAACAGAAATTGTACCTTTCAAAGATCACATGATCTGTTAATGATATTATACATGAGACTTGATGCTATTTTTTTTTTATTATTCTTTAGGAGGAAGTTCTATTGTCAAACTGAGTTCACTCACTCTATTTCCCCACCATTTTTTTTTTCAAATCTGGGATTCTAACTAAGATGAAAGCCAAGTATAAGAAAGAAACCCACCACAAAATTCTTATGAATGAAAATTGTGGCATTGGAATGTTGATCCAGTAGACATAATAATTTTCTCTATTTTTTGTCTTCATATGCATGCATTATGACTAATCAAAATCAGATTGACATTGGAAATAATAAAATATTGAATATTTTTGTAAGTGTAGCTTCCACTTGATTGACTTTGAACAGCTTCACTGTATGGATTAATACTTATATATATATATATATATATATATATATATATATATATATATATATATATAGCATATATAATATACACTTGGGTAGTATTTAAGTATTAAGGTGAATTTTGTAATCTTTTTTCGTTTCGTTTTTTCCTCTCTTCTCTTTTTCCTCTTTCCTCTCTTCTCGTTTCTTTTTCCTCTCTTCTCGTTTCTTTTTCCTCTCTTCTCGTTTCTTTTTCCTCTCTTCTCGTTTCTTTTTCCTCTCTTCTCGTTTCTTTTTCCTCTCTTCTCGTTCCTTTTTCCTCTTTTTTCACATCCAAGCTTACAGCACCTGGTATTTCCAAGCAGGCACCCATCTAGGAACTGACCAGGTTGTTTAACTTCAGTGATCATATGGGAACTAGTGTTTCAACATGACAAAAGCCACTTACCAAAGCTTCAAAATGGAAGTATTAGTAGATTAAGCAGTGTGATTAGGAAAATATAGGCTCAAAATACTTGTTAAGTCAAAAGTTTGGGGCCATCCTCGGGGTTTAATAATTACTAAGTTTCATATCTTCTTCAGTTTAATTAACAATAACTAAGCTTGGATGTTGAAACTATTTAACCTATTAGTGAATGTTATGCAATTTTTAAGGGAGGACATTTCCAAAAATGTTAAATTACCCAGTATTTAGATTACCATCAGCCAGAAAAGTAGATTAGATAAAAAGAGCTGAAATTATTATAAACATTGAATATATAATAAAAACCTTCAGGAAGAGAAAATCCCTCTGGTCCCAAGTGAGGTAGCAATTAGCTTTGGAAAATGCACTCAACCTTTGGGTAGGTCTTTGAAATCCAAAACGGTCACAAATTCATAGAAGCATAAGTCCAAATAGCTACAAATCCACTCATCCAGCTCATTAGCTTTATTTCTGCACCTCTTGGTTACTGGCAGTGACTTTATATGCGTTTGAAGTCAGGTACACTAATCCATAGCCAGCACATCCAGGTTGTTCTATCAACCCCATTGGTAGCACATGTGGGCTATTCCATCAAATGTTTCTGTTATAAACGATGTAATGAGTCTGCCCAAGTTTTTCTTTGTATCACAGAGCCAATGTAACAAAGAGCATTTAATAAACTTGCAAAAATGGAAGTATTAGTAGAATAAAGTGGATGGTTTGGAAAATATAGTCAAAATATACTATAGGCCAAAAGTTAGGGGACATCCTCGGGATTTAATATTTAGTAAGTTTCATGTTGTCTTTGGTTTAATTAACTCTTACTTAGCTAGAATGCTGAAACTATTTAATGCATTAGTGAATGGTATTCAATTTTTTAGAGAGTAATAACCTGAAAATTTTAAATCTGCCAACCATTAGCCTTACCATCAGCCAGAAAAGTAGATTAGGCAAAAAGAGCTGAAATTATTATAATCTTACTTATTATAAAACGCAGATTGTGTGTGTGTTTGTACGTTTATATATTGGATTGGATTACCTACATTTTTCAACTAATTTCAACAAAACTTCACAGAACTGCGTAAAATTACCTTGCAGTGGATCTGACAGCGCCAAAAATTGGAAAAATACAATTGTTTTTGCAGGAAATCAATTTGAAAACACGATAAAACACGATTCTGTCGCCAGAATGAAAGGGGAACAACTCATATTGAGTTATACTTATTATAAAACCCTGGTTGTTTGTGTGTGTTTACTTATGGGATCGGATTTCCTAATTTTTCAACCGATTTCAACAAAACTCACTTTTTTTTTTTTTTTTTTTTTTTTTTTTTTGGCAGATAGTGTTTCTTATTGTGTTGCACACTTTTTTCTTTATTTTTACATTCAGAATGCTTTAAAAATTCCATTTACAAGATTACAAGACAATTGTTTATAATAAAATTCTATTCAATCGGTAGACTCATAACGATTGAAAACAATGTTTTTGTTTGGGTTTGACCAATTCGTAAAAAAAAAACAAAACAAAAAACTAATTAAGACATGCATGTCCGTCAACCTTAAACAATATTCTTTGTCAATTTTATTTTTCAGTCTTTATGATGGTCGATACTTGATCTATCTCTTACTGTTATATCCCCGGGCAACGCCGGGCTCTACTGCTAGTCATTGAATATATGATAAAAACCTTCAGGAAGAGAAAGTCTCTTTGGCCCCAAGTGAGCTAGTAATTAGTTTTGGAAAATGCACTCAACATTTGGGCAATTCTTTGAAATCCAAAACACTGTCACAAATTCACAGTCCACTTCATCAACTTTCTCTCTGCCCCACTTTTTCACTGCCAGTGACTTTATATGTATTTGAAGACAGTTACGCTAATGCAGATTATTCCATCAATCCCAGAGGTAGCACGTCTGGGATATTCTATCAAACATTTTCTGTTATAAATGACAGAATAAGTCTGCCCCAGTTTTCCTTTGTATCATGGAGCTAATGGTATTGGTAGGCACACATCCACAACTTTTTTGAAGGCAAGTGGATTTCTTTTGCACAAGATGGCTGCAGATTTGGCCTATAGTGTATTTAAAAAGTGTATGATTATGTAAATAAGTGGATTTTCCAAAAAGAAGCATGTAGTTACTAAAGTATGTGCACTTAGAGCTGAAGTGAGTTTTAAGCTGAATTGAGACATTGTGATAATCCAGGGAATGTTTTAAGATTTCAGTAACATTATGGTTTTGAGCAAGTGAAGCCTGTTGATCTTGATGATCCTTCTTCAAACATTGTGAACGAGTCATACAGAATCACAAAACAACTGTACCAGATAACAGAAACCACATCAGTTATAAGGAAAATAAATTTCTCAAGTCCAATAGATGTTATCACTCTTTCTAGTATTGATGGGGGTTTCCTTCCTAACCTTTTATTTGAAGTGGTGTGGAATGTCAACATTTTGATTATGCCATCATTTTTTTTTTTTTTTTTTTTTTGTTGAGTTACATATGCTATCCATTTTAATTGTTGCTAATTCTCAAGTGATGTAGTTTTTAATAGTTGGTACAGCTTTTTGTGATTCTGTGGTGTCAGTAGATAATGTTCGAAGAAAAATGTCCTTTACTAAGATTCATAATCTTCACTCTCTTAAGGCCCTCTTTAACCATTGATGTTAGAAAGTGGTTGTATACAGCTGATATTTTTTTATATTTCTGAACAAATCTAGATCCATTTGAGTCTGATCTGGCAAGGCAATTTAAGAATATGACTTGAGTTTTCAGTGTAGGAATTTATACAACACTCTAAAGTACTATGCATACTAATTAGATTGAATGTACTAGTTAAAAGCTATATACTGTTTTGCATTCATATATTTATTTAAATTTTATCATATTTTTTCTCTATCTGGGATTGTAAGGTTGAATTGCACATAAATAAGGAAAATGTGCAATAGTTATTTTTATATACAGGGAATTGAAACAGGCTTTGTAGAATTCGGTTAGTTTTGGTATAGAAAGTTAGTACTGCATTATTTTATTACCAAAATTAGCTATTCTGACTTTTTTTTAAAACTGCAATCATTACAGCCATATCACATTGAAATGCTCATATGATCACTGAAGTTAAGCAATGGTCAGTACTTAGATGGGTGACCACTTGAGAATACCAGGTGCTGTAAGCTTGGATGTGCAGGTGGTCTAATGGATAACAGCTCAGAATTGGAAATCAGAAAGCATAGTTCTAATTCCAGTTGTTTGTTATATTCACATACTCATGAATAACCTTGAATCCAACTATCCTCCTCCAGCTATGAGTTAATTAGTAGGACTTGTATCACTAAATCATTATCTCCAAAAAATTCTTACAATCTAAAGATATTTTCTGATTTTAAATAACCTGCAAAGGGTTGATAAGCTATAAAAAAAACAAATCAATCAAATTTACAGTGCTTTATTTGTGACATTGACAGTTTATCATGATATTTAAAAAAAATATTTCTAAATTATAAATAAGCATAATGTATTTAATCTCTTTATCTCTAGGTTAGTAATTGATAACAGTTTTTAAATATCTAGACTAAACCATCATCTTTTTCTATCTGATATATAAATCTGTTTGGTCAATTGATGTTGAAGTTAAGCAGACAAGTAGTGTTGCTTTGCAATTGGAACTATTTCACAATCAAGCATTTTCCTTTCGTAAATATAATACAGTTCTGGAAAAAAGAAAAATGATGGTTCATTAATGCAATAAAAAAGAGTTAAAGCCCAAACAACTTTGAAGTTGAAATCTCTCCCATTTTTATCTTATCTTATTCGGTCTTAGCAACATTAATAAACCGTCTGGGGGGGGATCTCTGAATCTGTGATTCATCTCCTTTTCTCTGTTCAAATCTTTTGTCTGCAATACTCACCGCATTTCTTTTCTAAATAATTGTAAACCTTTATAACCAAAACAAAACAAAATGGATGTTGAATATAAGAATTATTAAAAGGTCATATAACCTAGTTTCAACATTTTTTTTTCCTCTTTTGTTGTTTCTTTCCTTTCATCCTCAAAAAGTGAATGACAGATTATCATAGATCTGCTAAAGTCCTGTATCATTTCTCAAATTATCACATTTTGTTTATTTTTCCTCTAATTGGTGTATTGGCTTTGTTTGAATTCAAAATTGCCAATGTCGGTTGCTTTGGGGTAGGCAAGTATTTCTTGATGAGTCATTAACAAAGTGGATATGACAGGATTTTAAAGGTTGTCTTGGGTCAGATATTGATCAGTCATGCCAACAGGCTGCAACAGAAAGCAGCAAAAGCATTACAGAATCTCTGTAAAGGAGTTTTATTGTAGGGTGAGGAATTGTAGAACTCTTTTAGTAGGAAGAGAGGCACAACTGTTTTGCTGCCTCAGAAAATTTAGCTGATATGACTCAGGAGAAGGTATAAGCAATAAGTTTGTATTGTAGTCATAGGCAGGTATCTTGAAAAATATGTAAAGAAAAAAAAAACAGGGGTTCTACAAGATTTTATGGAGATTGAATGAGAAGTCATATTTGTGTGTTGTAGAATGTAAATAAAAACTTATAGATATGTATATTTCTATATGTCTGCACTTATTCATTTAAACATTTTAATATAAGTGTTTCTATTTGTAGATATATACACATGTATACTTCTAAATGTAATTAGATTATAATTTCCTGAATATTTGTGCATGTAATTAAAATTTTTTTGAATACTTTCTATTTTAGATCAATTTTGTAACTTTTTTTTTTTTTTACATCCCTAATTTTTTTTTATTCATGGATACAAAGACTAATAGAATTTAAGAACTAGTTCTGTGAACTCTTGTAATTAATTAAATGGTTTGGATGAAACTTTGCCAACTCTTTGAATCC